TCGCGGACCTCCGACATTGGCCATTAACCGACTAAGGGAAGAAACCATTTTAGCGACCTTGTCCGCCGTACGGGTGATCTGGTCTCGCCAGCTGAGCTTGCTGTCCACCATGACCCCAAGGTACTTTGCGGCACGAGTGGTTTGGACTTCAACGTTCCCCACCATAGCGTCAACCTTTGACCGTCCCTTCCTGAAGCCGTACTGACGAGGGGATAGATTTCCTGCAGCAACCACGGCTGAATTCAGTCGGGAACGGATCAACTTTTCCAAGACTTTCCCAGCAGTGTCCAACATACAGAGAGGTCTGTAAGAGGAGGGTAGGTCTGGGTTTCCTTTTCCCTTCCCCACGAGCACCAGCCTAGCTGTCCAGCAGAAGGGAAACTTCCCCTCGGCCAGACAGGCATTGTACGTGCTCAAAAGGATTTGTGGATTTATTGAAAAGACTTTCTTCAGGGCCTCACCAGGTACCCCATCCGGTCCAGGAGCCTTGTTGTTCTTCAGGAATAGAACGGCCGCCTGCAACTCCTCGAGACTGAAAAGCGGTACGTCGTCCACCCTTCCAAACTCCCGCAATGGGCGCAGTGTGTGAGTTGGGAAAAGGGACTTTACGATCCTCTCCATAGAGGCCCCGTCCATAACGGAAGGTGGAGAGCGGGTGCCAAGCTTCTTGGCTTCTTGTAACCCAAGCCCCACGGATCGGAATCGACATCGTCCCTTAATTTCTCCCAGCAACTGCGTTTGCTCCGGTTAATGACCCGGCGAAGAGACTTCCTAGCCACCTTGTAAGCGTCAGACTTAAGACGTCTATCTTCAGGTTCTCTGGCCCTGGTAGCAAGACGTCTGGCTCTCAATGCTGCCCGTCGCAGTTCTGCGATCTCGGTTGTCCACCAGTACACAGGTCGCTTATCACACCGGGATCTCCTGCAAGGCATTGACTCTTCGCAGGCCGAGACTATCAGCCTCATCAATGATGTAACTGATGTCTCTGCGTGAGCCACGCCAGATGCAGCAGGTACCACTGGCTCCCCCTGTAGTATGACTTCGGTGAATTTGGCCACGTCCAGCTTTTTGGTGTTCCACCGAACGGGCACCTGCCGAGACACGGTAGCTTGTCTCTGATGACTATCCAGGACATCAAAAATGATGTACTGGTGGTCACTGGCCGTATAATCCTCTAGGACTCTCCAGGCTCGTATCCTCGGCAAGAGGGACTCAGATGCAAGCGTGATGTCTGGGATCGTTCCCCTCATTCCGGGACGCTGGAAAGTTGGCGTGTTGCCTTCGTTTATGACAACAAGTCCAGCCCTGGCAGCAAAGTCCAGGATGTACTTCCCCCGGGAATTAGTGAGAGTCATTCCCCACTCGACAGCCCTAGCATTGAAATCCCCCGCCACGACAACGTGCCCGGCGGTATCGCGCACGCTCTCTTCCAGGCGGTCTATCTTTCCACGAAAGTCACGGATAGCCTCATTGGGGGTGAGGTATACACTAAACCAAGTGACATCCCCGCACCGGACCCAAACGAATCCTCGGCCCTTCGCGTGACTCCTCACCTGCACTTTAGCTGTATTACGAACCCAGAATGCAGCAGTACCAAGTGTATCGGGAAACCAAAAAGATGGGTCCCTGTCCCGGTACTGGTACTGTTCGCTGACCAAAAGCGCGTCAACACCGTGTTCGAGGGCAAGCTGACTGAGAAGCGCGTCAGCCGTCCTGGATCGATCTACATTGCACTGGAGGATCCTTATCTTCGTGGTTGGGCTTTCGCTTGTTGCAGTGCGCCTTTAAATGCATTGCACTGCCCAGACCCAGCTATATGTTTAGCGTTTTTATCATTGAGACCTTTCTCCCTACAGAGGAAACAGGTCTCAACTTTACAGTCCCAAACAAAAACATTGGCAGATGACTCATTTAAATCATTTAAATAATCAGCTGATAAAAGCAAGTAAAGACGATTTGAAATAAAGTCATTTTACCAACAAACTGGCTTCTCCGTTTCCCAAACATTTTTTTTTTTTTTTAAATAAACCATACAAAAACAATAGATTTCAAATAGGAATAAAGAAAGTCAATAAATAAGTTAATGAACTATGCACATAAAAATAAAAACACCTTATTACTACAATATCAAAAATTATTTATTAAATTAAAAATATAAACATAACTCTGTAAAAGATCAAAAGATCCTACTTTGACAGTTCTCACAGCTTTTTGTTGCTGCTTGGTTCAAATTAGCTCAAATTGGTCATCGATTTAAACAATTAATAGTGCTGCACCCTATTGGTAAACCTTATAACTTTTTAATGCTATTGAACATCACATATGTTAATTTTAAACAGCTGTTAAGATTCTTTAATTCCATTTATATATGAGTACTCATCCGATTAAGATGGGAAACTTCAGAGCCACTGGGGCGGAGGCCTTTTGATGGATCTGCACCAAACTTCACACAAACCATCCTTGAATAAGCTTAATAATGCCTGAAAGTTTCATTGCAATCTGTCTAGTGGTATCGGAGCCCATAACGTTCAAATACGAGGCATGTTTTTTAAGTAAGTACCGTTTTTAAATTTGTCCGTTCCAGAACTGCGATTGGCATTTTCAACATTTGCGCTGTGTATGGGATTCTATTGGTAAGACCTAGCCGGAAATTCGAGAAAAATCGGCCGTGTTTACATCCGGTTTCGAGCATTCAAAATGGTACCACCAATTGAGACTGCCGCCGACTGTGAAGTGCGCGATGTAATTAGATTCCTAAATAAAACACATGTTTTATTTGCAGTCTTGAAACACTTTTTTTGTTTGCTTTTTTTATTTAAGGCTGAAAAATTGATGTATGTTTTTTATTTTATTAACGGCTCATGTTATTGTGGTTGCAATAATGTAATATTTTTGTTTAAATATTCAGTTAAGAATTCTTTACTTTTTAAAGATTATTTTGTTGACAGTAAATCTTATAGTTGCCTATATTTTAAGCACTTTGTAATATTTAGTTATGTATATGTGTATTTATAGCATATTTGACTATATTCAATACATGTTATTTTATGTATGACGAATAAAGAATGATTTGACTTGATTTGATCCTGAACAAAGCCACCAGGAGTCTGTGGCCCACAAATCAGCGACGCACTTCATCGGGTATGCAGTGTAGAACTTCTAAGTAGTACTTTTTGGTAATTTTTTGTTCTTCAGGTGTGTACTATGATAAACTTAAAACAATCAGCATGACTTTGAATTTGCTTCGAACTTGGTGTGCTTTTTTGGCTGCGGCGATATGGAGTTTGTGTTTCCACTGAGAAGACTGCGCCTTATTTTCAGGACTAGTTATAACTGTTTTAAGAAAGTTTGGGTCATTCTGAAAGCTTTCCAGTATGTCTTGAGCAACTAAGAGCCCTAATTCCTTTTGTTCATCAGTATTTGGGACATATTTTACAGCAACTCTGTGCGTAACCAAATCTTCCATTAAGATTGAATGAACTGAACCAATACCGATTCTAACTTCCGTAGCTAGTTCACAAACAGTAATACGTCGATCCTCCATTGCTAAAACTTGAAATTGATCGATAACTTCATCGTTTTGACTTGATGGTCTCCCAGAACAAGGTTCACTGTCCACCGAAGTGCGACCATCTTTGAATCTGTTGTACCACTCTTTTTTCTGTGTTACACCCATAGCCCCTTCTCCAAAGGCTTGCTGGATATTAAGAATCGTTTGAGCTTGGGTATCTCCCAGTTTTTGCAAAATTTAATGCAGTATCGCTATTCCACCTGTTCCGTCATTTTGCTTAGCACAAAAACACAACGAACACTACGTATACAGTTTCACGTTTGGCGGCCGACAACAAACTGAAGCCATGTGTACTTGTACTTGTATTTGTGTTATTCTTGTATGCCTCGATCTACACACCAGGGAGCAGCTCAATGCGGTTGTTGGATTACTAGAGAAAAAGTAAGGTCGGATACATTTTTAACAGACCTCATATAATGTTTTTGTTGTATTTGTGTTATTCTTGTATGCCTCGATCTACGCACCAGGGAGCAGCTCAATGCGGTTGTTGGATTACTAGAGAAAAAGTAAGGTTGGATACATTTTTAACAGACCTCATATAATGTTTTTGTTGTATTTGTGTTATTCTTGTATGCCTCGATCTACGCACCAGGGAGCAGCTCAATGCGGTTGTTGGATTACTAGAGAAAAAGTAAGGTCGGATACATTTTTAACAGACCTCATATAATGTTTTTGTTGTATTTGTGTTATTCTTGTATGCCTCGATCTACGCACCAGGGAGCAGCTCAATGCGGTTGTTGGATTGCTAGAGAAAAAGTAAGGTCGGATACTTTTTTAACAGACCTCGTATATGTTTTTGAAGGTTATTTTTAAAATAATAGATTTAATTGGGTAATACTAAATGTGAGAAACTTCTGTAAGGTGGATAGTTAGTGTTACATTTAATTTTGAATGTATCAGTACGGATGTTAACTGATACATATTTAGGTTTAGACACCTGCTGATGATCAATTTGTAGCCTACGTCTCCATAGGAAACCTAGAAGGCTAAAGAAGGCCTAATCTTACTTTTTGAAAATTTGGTTTAGTGAGTTCCTACAATACTTAGCAGCCAGTGTCACTCCGTGACTTCAAAATCCGAGAAATACTTGAATTAATGTACAGTTTTCTATTGCTCTGAGTTAAGTTGAAAATTATCTATTTTTACGTGATAATATCATCAAGTTATCAATTAATTGTAATAATAACACCTTTTTCATATGGATATAAACAAAATTGTATAATGGCCATCTGTTTTGATGTAAACAATTACAGTAAACTTGAAAAAGTTCAGATGAATACAAAAATCCAACAAATTCTATTAAAATATAGACGCTAAGATAATTTTGTATACAATCCAATCAGTAGCATCTGTGAGGTTGTGTTTAGTTTCTTAGTATGTTAGTAATTTTAGTATTTCTATTCTACTATGGATTTTGTTATGTTGCCAGGTTATGACAAATGGACACAGAGAACATATTGAGACTAAGTTAGACAGGAAGCAAAACAATGATAATAAAGAAAATCAGCTCAACCAAACAAAGCCTCAACCTAGAAAAAGAATGCACCGCCGGTTTCTCAGGGGAAGGGTACCCTTGGAATTCAGCGTCAAGGTACACTTGAGTGATATAATGATTGATATATATAAACATATTATAAATACCACCGCCGCAGCAAACCTGCAGACTAAGCGGATTTCCATTTGCCTCATTGGATTTACACTAAAATGTCTCCTTAAATATATCACATTTATTCCCTATTTAAATAGAATTAGTTTAACGAGTACTTAGGTTTGCTGCAACAGGGAGGGTAAAAAAGTGTTTTTTAATGTAAAATGTTAATAGGTACTGTAGTTTAGTAAGAAATTAATGTATTTTCCAAATTTGATCAAAATATGTTTATAAATAAAAATAAGCAAACTACAACAGTTTACTTAATCTCCATAAGAATAACATGGGAATTTTAAAATTACAATTTCTTTTGAATTTTCTCCGTAACCCTTAGGCGCATAATAACGCTTCAATATACTAAATTATTTGTTTCTTTAAGCTCTACATAATGGTTTGGAAAGTAATTGTGAAATTTTGTGTTTTTAGGGTCAAATTTGGGAAAAACCTATTTTTGTATCCCATAAAATCCCCCATAAACCCCCGTTCCCATAGTCCGATCATGCTGGTTCGCGAACTCATTCAAGTTTATCCTGCTTTACACCTTTAAACCAAATTTCATCAAAATCGGACAGAATCAAGTTATTGCGTTCATGGACACACACACACACATAAATATATATACACGGCCGCGCCCGGGAAGCCAGTCACATAAAATATACACTGGAAGTCAGTCAGTTGCACCCCCCAATATATTTCAAGACTATGATATATATATAATATATATTGGTAAATATCTTAAGCCTAGACATATCTGAACGTATATATCTCTTTTTTTCTTAAAAATACTAAAATATAATTACGTAAAAAATGCTATGCTAATGCAGTCACCACCGCATTTGCATGGGAAAGCCAGTCACATAAAATTTGTGCTGCTAAGACAGTCACTATATATTTTACCGCGTACCACTGGAATCCAGTCACTGAAAATCCACCGGGTATCCTGTCACTTCAGTCACTTTCACCCCTGCCCTTCTACTTTGTGATATTTATTTGTTCTACAAGCTTGAAAATTCGCACCTCAAACAAACGGATTATGCTTCAGGCATTGAGCACTCTCATAACCCATCTTTCGCACTTCATTTTAATTAGTTGTCTTCCAGATTACTTAACAATTACTATTCTACAGATTAAATACCTAAATTTCAATGTAATCTTTGGTCGTCTTAATAGTCGTCCTGGCAACTGTGGATACAAATATGTACCGAACTAATTCGCAAGCGCAAAGTGGGAAGTTGCTTTATAGTCGCACAATTAGGCCTATTATTGAGTCCTTGGAGACAAGCGGCCATCTTGGATGATTTCAAATAGCTGCAAAATTTATCATCCAAAAATATTTTTCAAAAACCAAAGTGTTTATAATTTAAATAGCTAGTATACTGTGGGATTAGAAATGTTCTTTGTAGTTTTGAATTATTCTCCAAGGGAGTCCATAAAATAAGTTAACGGTCACGGTCGTCTTGGAAAAAGGCCAACCAATACAAAAACAATATCCTGTGTTGCGCGGGCCGTTGCACACAAATAGTTTTCCCGCCTCAAACAATCAAAGGTGCGTGGAACAAGGCAAAATTCTTGTCTCTCTTGCGGCGAGAGGTTGGGGCGGGCCTAACGGGTTCCATTGATGGGCTACCCCGGCTACCCGGCTACCGACCGACCTGGGGTAGCGACTAGCAAGCCAGTGGATGGTTAAAGGTTCTGCCGGTTATTTCCATCTTATTGCTGGTTCTCGAGCTTTTTGAGCTCGTTGTACAGTGAAATCTTACTTCCCTATTTTATATAGCCACAATCAAAGCGATTTTTACAAGAAAGAATGAAGATATAGACTCAGTGATGTGTGGTTACTTAATTAAATCATGTTCCTTGTAAGAGCCCATAATCAATCAACTTTTATTTATTTATTTTTTGATTTATTATCCATATCAATTTAAGAGGTAGCCCTGTACCTGGTTAACAAATATACCGTTTACATTTAATGTGTTTTCTTTGAGTTACGCCCCATGGGATTCCAAAGTTTCACAATGTTTACATTTTTGAAGAATGTAGATAACAGAATGTTTAACGAAGTCAGCTGTAAATGCTGTCAATGCAGTGCTTTGATTTTGCGGTCCAAAAGGTAGAAACGATTCGATTTGTGGAACTTTTAACTTTTGCTACGGGCCTGTTAATTGGAGATTGTGACTTTCTTAATTTAAGGAAGTAAACGTATTAACATGACGTGTTTGGAGTGGGATTTGAAATATGTGACGTGTATCAAACTTTTTCTCTTCAAAATCCTCTCCGATGTAAAACACAGGTACGGCAGCTAGGTTTATTAGAATTCAAAAGTTTTTTAATTGTCCTCCAATGTTTAGAAATTATTTTTCGATCAAGTTGTTTAATGAATAAATAATTGTTTTGCCAAATTATGTTTCGAAACCAGGAACTAAAAATAAATCAGGAAATAGATATTTTAGTTCAGAATCAAAGCCAATCAAATAGGCCTACGTACTTTTTAAATAAAAACACTGGTCGGATGGTTTTTAACTTTGCTGTTTATTTACTTCAATAAATTTCTAATAAAAATCACCACAGGTACTAATCTATATAAATAAAATTAGAGTTTTGTCTGTACATTGCTCAGAATCATCAATTTTTAGATTATTTTTACCTTTTAAACATTCAAGAATCCAAAAAAAAGTTTCATCTCAATTCCGTTATTATCTCAATCATCAATTATTATCTCAATTCCGTTGTTGTCTATCTTCCGTCTGTCACGGTCCAAAGGCCATTTTACGCGGCCTTCTCCTGAAAAACGAGAGTACCTATCAAGATCCTCGAATCATTTTAATGTATTCACTGGATTGGCAAAAGTGTCTTTAGCTATTAAAATATGGCCTCACTACTTTGTAAAAAAACTTACGGACGTTTAAAACCCAATTTTGTGCGATTTTTGTCAAGTTTTCTCACAATGTTTATCACATAATCATCATATGAAATAGCGAACAGCTGTTCGGATCAAGATTATTTTTCTCTAGCTGTCACTGATATGTTTACATTGAATATTGTTTACAAATACCGCAATCATTTCAGATCAAGTTTCAAAAGCAAATCCAAACCAAGTTGGATTAAAACCGTTTTTCCTTACATAACGGATTTAATTAATCGCAAGTGCAATAATGTGTAGGGTAACCGTAAATAAAAAATAGAGCTTCTTTGTGTATACAATTTCTATTGAGTTTTGGGTTGATAACCGGGAAAAAGACATTGACTCAGTGTTCTATATGCCTGGGAAACTTACATTTTTTACATAAGCGTTACCAATAGCTTACATATAAGGTTTCAACTCGTTGAGGGCACTTCAATGGTGATTGTGTAAAGTGTTTGGAGACAACTGCAGTGGGTGATTGTAACAGAGGTTTACGGATTATGCTCAAATCGTATTTCTAATGTGTTTTCTCAACGCTATGTGCTGCTTGCTGGACCATACGTCCAATAGACCAATTATCCATCTCTTGGGTTCGTAGGCTTAAACAATTATTAATAAGTTGGTAGCGCATATTACTCAGTGTTCCGTACGGACAGGACAAGAGCACCTCTTTGATAGTGAAATGTCCAACCTGAATGTTTAATGGCGAGGTTGAGGTATAGTATTTTATCTATATATCGTTTGGTTAGTTAGGTAAGGTTAACCTAACCTAATTAACCAAACGATATATCAAATTAAACAATCGAATAATCAATATTACTCATTTAGTTGGTTGTGCCAACAGATGTGGAAGTGTACCCCTCATAGATCTACTACGCATTTTTTTTACTTGAAACTGTCAGATACTGTATTTGTTTGTATATAATAGTTTGGCCAGCATATCTGAAAATATGCAAACCAATAGTTTTTCTTTATTTAGGAAGGTTTCAACTGTCCACTAGAGGATCCCCGGGCGTAGAACGGGCACACAGCTAGTAATTAATATTTAATTAATACATCTTATCTTACTAATATTATAAATGTGAAAGTTTGTGTGTTTGTTTGTTTGAAGTTCAATCACGCATTAACTGAGTTGTGCGTGAAAGCTGTACTTGAAGACTTTTTAAACCAACACATGGAGTACATAAATGGGATCTCACACCATAAGCTACCACAATGTAAACAACATAACCAATCAATACTGAAAGACTCAAATCAGACCCTAAACCATTTTTTAGGTGTGAAGAAACAAACAGACAACAAAACATAGAATCAACTTCCCCCCTGAATGACAACAACCAAAACACAAACCCCAAAGCACAAAGAAGAGATAATCAGGGAAATTTAGTTATTACACAAAATAAAACAACCTCATCACAATTTTTCACCAAAATGTTCAAGGTCTTAGGAAAAAGATTGAAAGAATAAATCATCTAATGAGTGAACTCAAACCCACTATCTTGGTGATTACTGAACATGGACTCAGCTCAGATATGTTATTACTCACTAAGATTAGTGGGTACAACCTAGTCACATATTCCTGCAGAGATGAGCATAGAATGGGAGGAGTTGCAATCTATATCCAGGAAACTGCTGCTATCAAGGCAGAAGAAATAGAAATCTCCAACCAAAGTTTAGAGTTAGTTTTTGAAGCAGCATTAGTGAAAATAAGGATAAAGAACAAAAACTTCTACTTACTTGGTATGTATAGACCACCAGGGGGACAAGCTAGGTTAGCCATTGACATCCTATCAGAAGTTCTGGAGTCACTTCAAGCTGACACCAAGACCGTTGTATTAATGGGCGATATCAATATAGACAGGCTAACTGAAAATGCCAGTAGTAACTATCTTGAAGAGGAACTGTCAACTTTTGGAGTTAGAAGACTACCACTCCCAGCGACAAGAATCACTAACCATTCAAGAACCTCTATAGACTGTATCTGTACGAATACACATGATAATGCTATAGATTTCGCTATAATTAACGCTGGAATAGCAGA